TCCCACACACTACCCTGCTTTCTCCTTCCTCATGATTCTCAGCACCAACTGATGTCATTTGCTTGTTACCGTGCTGGCTTTTTCTGCCCACCACAGTGCCAGCAGGGTCTTGGATTTCACCCCCACTCCCTGAGTGGCTAGCAGAGGGCACACCATCAGTTCTCAGTAGAGTGTGTGGAGTGAATGAATTAATTTGATTTACATTTTAAAGAGATCAATCTGGCTGCTGTGGGGACAATGGGTTTGGGAGAGTCAAGAATCAAAGCAGTCCAGATGAAAGTAGAATGTGGGCCAACATGGTGAGAACTGCCCCTGTGGTGGCTGTAGAGCTAGAAAATCAGCACGGCCCCAGGTCCCCAAGGTAATGACTCTACAGTGGTCTTCTTCATGTGGGGCTGTGAGCTCATAAAATGGGTCTTTTTTTTTAAGCTGCTGAATCAGGAAATTTTTCTTAGGTACTTACATGTTACCGAGGTAAAATTGATAAACTGATGCAGTCTGACAAAAATCTATTAACACTAAAAAATGCACATGCTCCATGATCTAACATTTTCACTGCTAGGAATTTCTCGTTGGTACATGCTCACAAACGTACGTCAAAATATACACAGGGACATTCACCCTGTCATTGCTTATAATATCCCCGAACTGGAAACAATATAAATACCCATCACAGGGAAACTGCTTAAAAATACTTAAAAATTTTTATACAGCTATTAAATAAAATAAGAAAGGAGCTTTTTTTTTAAATGTTTTTAAAGTATATTTTATTTTTTTATTTTTTTTAAGATTTTATTTATTTTTATTTTTAGAGAGGAAAGAGAGGGAGAGAGAGAGAGAGGGAGAAACATCAATGTGCGGTTGCTGGGGTTCTGGCCTGCAACCCAGGAATGTACCCTGGCTGGGAATCGAACCTGGGACACTTTGGTTCCCAGCCCACGCTCAATCCACTGAGCTATGTCAGCCAGGAGAAAGGAGCTTTAAGATATATAATGTGTTTTTAAAAATTCTGCTTTTGTTAAAACATGCACACAAGACTGACATTGCCATGTGTACAACCAGTGACATACAGAGAGAAGGGGAGAGGCAGGAGAGAGGCAAATACTGATCTAAATAGAAGGGTTTCTCCTCTAAAAGATACACAAAAAAACAGAAGCAGTGGTTATCGTTTTAAGAAAAAATGGAGTGGCTAAGGGGTAGAGAGAATTTCACTTTCGGACATTTCTGATGGATTGGATTTTTTTGATATATAAACTTGTAATTTACTTAAAAAAACACAAACAAATGACATCCCTTTGAGATAACTAGCAAAACAATCAAGAACATGTATCATTACTTGCTTTCCAACTTTATGGACAGTGGCTCCAATGATTCATTTACACACACAGTGAGTGAGTGAGCACACATGCACAATAGGTGTGTGTGTGGATAAAAAGATACTTGAATGCTCTCCAGTGCAATGGGACAAACGCCTCAGTTAGAACGCAGTACATGGAGCCCACATTCCCAAGAGACTTTCCTCGTCACCACCAACAAGCCACGCTAGAGTACAGGCCAAAAATGATTTCAGCAACCCGTGACGGGTGCCAGCTCTCATTGCTTCCCTGACCATTTTTCGACCTCAGAGACATAACTATTCGTTTGCTTCTTAAGGAAGCACCTTTCGGCCTGTGTTAGCTGTGCTGACGTTCAATGTTAAATAACAGGTTTCATTCCGTTCCTGGTGGACGCCGTCTCCTCATTAAAGCTTTGTTGGCTCTTACAGAAAAGGTGACTTTCACAAGTACCAGTGTACCACTTTCTTTTCTCCAACAATTGCTTTTACTTAGCGTTAGACCCTAAGGGCTTATGTAATAAAGCAAAAGTTTCCCAGAGAAAGGGAAACATACCCTCATACATTCTTCAGAAAAGCAGTGTAGTTGCAGATTTTTAAAAACTATATTACATTCATAAAGCTCGTTCAAAGGCAGCTGATTATTCAATCACCTATCTGCTCTGTGCTGTAACTAAACATCTCTAAATGTTATCAAAAGAGGGGGCCTTTGTTTACAGGGTTCACGGGAACTATTTCTAACCTCAGGAATGCAAGCTGTTTACCACATCTACTTTTTTTTTCAGTTGTAAATGTATTTCTAAAGCAGGTATTCTTTCTAATTGCCCTATGTTGGGGCAGTCACAGAATAGTAGGGTATTTTGCAAGTCAATTCAGGAGAAAAACAGAAAGCCAGGTTAAGTCCAGTCTGGTGAGGCTAAGCACCGCAGGCCTAAACACACAGGCCCTGGCTACTCCCCCCTCCTGCGCCCTACATTGTCATGTTAACAGCAGCAAACAAAAGGACCACAGGGGGGAGAAGGAAGATTACCTGTGCCGACCAAAACTAATGAGGACCGTAGTCCTCTTTGAAGACCCGAGAAAAGGGACCAATCAGGTCTAAAGGTGTTAGGGCACTCCAGGTCATCGAGACAAGAAACGGTGAAGAGCTTGATTACTAAAGAGTGCTGTCCTAAAACAAGAACATAAGTGACACAGCAAAGCTCAAGCTCTATGATGCTCCTGAAACGATGGATGCTGGATTCTGACCAAGGGAGGCGGGGAAGGGTAGGAGATCCTGGAGAAGAGAGTAATGGGAAACCAAACGTAAGGCTGGAAGTTGGGACAATATAAATGAGGAAAATTTGGGAAGGTAACAAAGACCAATCAGACTGAATGGGGCAGTGAACTCACAAATGAAGTCCCCGCTCACAGATCTCAGCGAATTTAGCCAATGACACCGGTGACCGGTGGGAAGGAGGGGACTGACAGAGGACTGCCTTGTGCTGCAATGAAATCGAGTTTCCAGAAGCTCCAAGTGTTAGCGACTTCACTTGATAATTACCAATGCACCCAGAGCAGTGCGAGGCCCTGAGGAATGCCTCTGAACTGGTAGATGAAACCACCAGACTGGTAATTAAACTCACTTTATATGGGAGAGGTCTCTTGCTCAAACTTGAGCAATCCTGCTCATTTCAGGAAAGCAATTTTAGCACAAAAGTGGCAACGAGAATCTTCTGAGCCTCAATTTCAGCTCAGATAGGACAGCTGGCAGCCTCTGCTCACTGAACTACAAAACCAGGAGACCGACCACTTCCAGAGGGTGTTAGAGGGGATTAAGATTACGAAGTACTGTGAAGATGAAAAGGACTAAGTCTCAGTCTTGTATCATTCGCAGGTAGTTGAACAGTCTCTGCTTCTGTGTCAGCAAACAAGGTTTTACCATTTTATCCATCCAGACACTTCGATAGCAGTCATTGCAGTAGTACCTAAGTGGGGTTTTTTATTTTATTTTTTTATTTTATTTTTTTACTAGATAACCTGTTGAAAAACTGCTTGGCATCTTGTCAAAATGACATGCCGCTACATTGTGTTACAGTCTGCCAGAGCCTAAAAATTTAGAAAATGAGATGATATTTTCTCCAAAGGATCAATGCCATGCCTCATGACAAGACTGTTGACTTCCTACAGCTGGACAGTAACGCGGTGAGTGAAATGGCCGGAACACCGTGTTCTGCTGCAAACACTCACACACGAAGCTTCTTCAGTGAGACTCTGAAAAATCAGCATGTTTACTCCAAAGCACCACAGATTCCAAACTAAAAGGCAACTTCTTTTACCCCCCCCCTTAAAACTAACCCCAGAAAAGAGGGTGTCACATTATATTTGATCCTTACAAAGTCTCCAGTCATCATGGGGTATCTTCCCCTCACTTCGCTCTGAGCAGTACGGAGTACCATTTGGGGAAGGCAAATTTACCCAAAACAACCTTAATTATTACTAACATTGACCTATTTACCAAGGTTACCGGTAAACGTGAGTTAAAAAGAAAAGGGTAAAAAGTATTCCTGGGGGCAGGATCTTGCAAATGCCATGTTGAATGTAAAAACAAGGATTTAAAGTTCACTGTAAAAAGCAATGGAAGTTGTTGCGCTGTGGGGCCCGTTAGATCCGTACAGGATGAACTGGGAATGGGAAAAAAGGAAACAGCTGTCCCAACGTTGCGTGTCTGTGGAATGAACCGGGAGGGCGCTGTCCTCAGTGCGCAGGAGTGCTGCGCCTCACCAGCTTTCAGGGAGATGCACTACTCTGCAAACCCAGGTGAGCGGCTGAGTCGGAAAGCTGGTTAAATGGTGGAAACGCTGGTTCAAAATCATAGGAAGAATCTGAATAAAATATTTCTTGGTATGTGTGCATGGAAAAAAGGCAATTAATTTTATGTAATGTGATTTTACATATTTATATGTAAATAAATGAAAATTCTTTTGAGTAGACATTGACCTTCTCATCCTATATCCTTAAAGGTTTACTCATTCGGTTGGCCATGGAACATTTTTTGAATCTTCTCATTGAAAAATGGTGAACACCTTATGTTTGCTAAAGCATCATAGTTGGATAAAGAAGCAAATTCTAGTCTGTTCCATTATAAGTTTTTTGGTAGAAGAGTATGAATAACAAATCTGAAGGGTTTTCTAAAAGTTTGGTTTTCCAATCATTCTGAAAAACTATCTTCTAAATGAAAAACGGTTAAGGCTAACGTAAGTATTACAACCCATGCATACGGACAGGGCTGGGATGTGTAGGGTCAGAAAACAAAGTCTTGATCTGCTGTGGGTTTCTTAACTGAGCTCAGCGTCTCTCCTGAAAGATGGTGCCTGGTGTCCGTGCATCTCCCCTTCACGGTGGAGGACATGAGAGTTAGGTTTTTGTAGCAATAATAAGTTCAAGGAAGGGTCCAGCCACTGTTGCTGCAAAGAGCTGTGCACTGAACAACACTGGCAAGCACTGTCTGCGTCCCAGTCGTCCTTGATTTAAGTGTTTCTAAGGACAGTTTTTTGGTGGGTAGCAGGCAGGTGCCCCATGGCTACAGAAGAACACCTTCCCCAGGAGTAGAACGTGAGGAATCAAATTCACGCTGATGAGCAGTTTCTAGTTTACAGGAAGAGCATACAGTCACATAAACAGTTACCTTGTAGATCCCAAAGAACCCCAGGTCCCTTACGACAGACAGAGCACTGACTCGGGGACCAGTGGTGATTTCCCCAGCCACTTGCAAACGGATCTTGACGATTTCCAAAGGATTTGTGAAAATCACCTGGGAACCTCCTGCCTAAAAAGGAAAAGAATGAAAAAAATTATTATCAAAGAGGGCTAATGGTAAATGTTTCAGGAAGGGATGAGTGATTATCCTCAAGGGAGCTCTGAATATTCTGTCCTCAAGACATCGTAGTTTCAGTTTTTGTCCCCTCAATTAAAAGTTAGTGATTGTGAGTTTGAATGAAAATACAGTCACTGGCTAGGGGCTGTGGGTACACAGGTCCTATCTCCTTAATGCGTGGGTTGAAAAAGGGTAAAGACCAGAGACTTTGCCCAACACGGAGACTTCTGTTGTCTTCACTAAAGTCCACACACTAAAATGACAAAGATTCCTTGAAGCACAATCAACTGCCACCATGGGTCTGAAAGCCAGGGACACAGGTCTTTATCCAAATAGAGAGACACAGATCTGTCACAATAAGAGGTGGTGGGGAGGACACAGGTTGCCCCACAATGGACTTCAGGATTTTGCCAATGATTCAAACGTAGCCAGAAAACAAGTAAACGTAGGTGAAAGCTACTTTTTTCTTCTCTTAAAAAATCAGACAAGCCCTGGTTGGCATAGCTTGGTTGGGCATTGTTCTGCAAAGCGAAAGGTCGCTGGTTTGATTCCCAGTCAGGGCACATGCCTGGGTTGTGGGCTGGGTGCCTTCTGTTGGGGAGCATAGGAGAGGCAAGCAATCCATGTTTCTCTTCCTTTCTCCCTCCCTTCCCGCCTCTCTAAAATGAATAAAATCTGCCCTGGCTGGTGTGGCTGTAGATTGAGCACTGGCCTGCGAACCAAAGGGTTGCTTGTTCAATTCCCAGTCAGGGCACGTACCTGGGTTGCAGGCCAGGTCCTCAATAGGGGGTGCACAAGAGGCAACCACACATTGATGTTTCTCTCCCTCTCTTTCTCCCACCCTTCCCCTCTGTCTAAAAATAAATAAAGAAAATCTTTTTAAAAATAAATAAAATCTTAAAAAAAAATAAGGCAAATCATCAAACACAATTTTCTGGAGTTACATATTATTATCTTTTATTTATGTGTTACCTGCATATAGAATTACCCTTTTAATATAAGATAAATGTGAAAGTAGCAAAAATATGCATTAAATCAATTACGGCCCAAACTTTGAACAACGTGTGTTGTTTCATTCCAGCGATGGCTGGGTGCCACACCTCCGAGATCATCAGTGGAAATCTTTAAAGTGCACTATAAGGGAAATTTTAAGCTAGCTATTTTGAAGCTAAGCCTCTATTTATCATAAGCAATTACATTCTTTCTTACTGTACTTCAACTTGTTATTCCTTGTCACAAATATATTAAGTGTTCATATTGTTCAGACTAAGGTTGAGACGCAGTTGAAGTTCAGGATCTTCATTATGCAGTGACTGCACCAAATGAGACTGCGGACACAGTAATGTCACTTTACAGCTTAGAAGATGCTATCACAGTAACAGGCACAATTTGGGTCAGTATCAGCCAAAACTACGTCTTGTTACAGCCTTTGATCCTATTAACCAATGCATACACCCTCACCAAATGGACTGTACTAATCAAAACCAGCTACAAGAATGGTCTTTGAAGTATTGTTTATAATACCTCAAAATAAAAATTAGAAACAACATAAGTATTTAATGGTAAGGAATGGATTAAAGGAATTTGAGTATGTTTGTGCAATAAAACTCTGTCCCGCCAATAAAAATATTGTGGAAAAGGTTCAATATATGATATGAGGTGAAAACTTTCATATGTTTAAATGCATGTACACCTTTTCTCAGCCCTGCCTTATCATGTGGAAGGGATACACCAGCATAGTGCTTTTGAGGTGATAGATTGTAAATGGTTTATTTCTTTTTCTGCTGTATTTTTATTTCTTCTGTATATATCACATGTTACTTCTATAAGGAAAAATAAATACTTCTGCATAACTTACTTAATATACATAGCAATGTCAACCTCTCCCTCAAAAGAAAAACGTTCATTCATTAACTCTCTAAATCATACTGTTTTCCCATTTGTACCAACTTAACACCTTAATCAAGATACTCTTGTTCTTAAAAACAGACTGAGGTTTTCGTTTTCTCCATTAAACATTAAAACTATTTAGAAGGCACTGGTATTCCCCTGAATCTAGACAGTCACACAGACTACCTCCGTACTGGCTTCTGCCACATTTCGCCCATCTTCTTCATGTCCCGTAGGGGACCCTAAGGAGGTGAACCAAGCAATCTTGGTGGGAAAACATGGGTTGGATTCATCAAGAGGCTCAAGAAAGGCCCTTCTGCAGTGGGAAGGAGGGTGAGGTGACACACCCAGAGGCCGGTGTGTTCTTCTGGTTCACTCGAAGACACCTGCACCCGCTCCTCCGGGGCCCACAACAGTGCTTTGTCCCTGCTGCTGCAACCGGCAGGTCAGTGGGAAGAGCGACCCCAGCCTGTCTGCAGCCCTTAAGTCCTCTGTGGGTTTGCACCTGCCCCTCTCCCCATGACACAGAGGGAGTTAAAGGTGGCAGGAGGAAGAGATGAGATGGGCCTGACCCAGGAAAAGTAAAGATTATGCTTGTACTTCTGGACTGGTGCTCCCAAGTGGCAAAAATGAATAAAAATTAAAAACAAAAGATTTGCTGAGCTGAAGTTAGCCTGAGACTGATTTTTGAAAGCTCAAAAGTGGGGAAGGCCATGCCAACCAAGGGTTGAATGGAGAGCGGTCAGTGTGCATTGATCTTCCTGAAGAGCAGAACAGGAACGCAATGCATACTCACCAAGCACTGCTATGGCTGCTATGGTGGGTAAGGAGGCAGCTGAGCCTCACAGGTGAAGACTGAGCCTCAGCCCCTATCTGTCAAACTATCTCACTGTTCTCGTGAGGATCGAAGAGATGGTGGCTGTACTGCAGTCAGCACGGTGCTCAAGATACAGCAGGGACTCCAAACGTGTTGGCTGTGTTTCCTCTAGCTCCTCAACTGATGCTTCTCCTCCGTGGCTGTACGTTGCAGTCGCTTCGGAGATTTAAAAAAATCATGACTTCTAGACCCCACTCCAGACAAATTAAATGAGAATTTCTGCATCTTCCCTTTGAAAATGTTTCCTATGTGATTAAATGTACAATGAGGGCTGAGAACCATTCTAGTTACTACATCATCTCTAGGATCCCTTTCAATTCCTAGGCTGCTTTATTGGCTTATTTAGAGCTATGATTTCAAATTTCAGTCTTCCACGTTCCTTCCCAGAGTAACTTTTATATGTTTTACATGTGCTCTCATAACAAACTTTTTATACATATCCAAGTGGTACCCTTATTAAAAGATACAATTCTTAGGTATAGAATTGATGTCTTTTTCATTATATCTTTACTAATGCCTGTAAAAATTAACATTATACACAATAAGAATTCACCTCTACAACTCCAAGCCAAATGATAGACACCAATTCTTTTAGCACAACAAAGTGAATTGGAATCACTAAAGATGATACAAAAGTCAAACCCACCCCAGAGAGCTGCAGGAAACAGAAGCAGTGGGAAGAAAGAGTGTAGTGATAGCAGGAAAAAATAATGATGTGCTCGTTACCTCTGGTGGGCTCAGAAAGAAAGAACCTACTGACTCAAAGTGGCACACTGCAGGGGTGCCAGAGATGAATGGGTCCTTTGGAGTCAAGCTGGAAGGAAATGAGACTCCAAGGCACCAAGAGGAGATGCTTATCATCACATGCACGGTGTCTGGGCATCACCACAACTTGATCACTGAGCAGCACAGGGCCTGCTGCTCTGCTGGCTCCTGGTCTATTATCCATTCACAGTACCTACCCAGGTCCCTCCTTTGCAGAGATCAAAGACGGCCGAATCCGCGGACAGGAACACCTATTGTGCACGATGTCTTTGTGTCCCTCATCACTTGAGAGCTCTGGTTGTGTGAAGGTACTGTTTTTGTGTGTGTGTGCAACTCTGTCACAAATCATTTCCCCGTGACTCTCCAGAGTCTGAGGCAAGTAGGACAGGGGGAGATTTTCCATACTGAAACTGGCTCTGTGGGGCATAGCGTATTTACTGTGGGGACACTGACTTCTCTGCAGGTTTCTTGGAATATTCTTTGTTACTGAAATTTTAGTTACTACCCAGTATCTGGATCCATCTAAAGAGAAATGCACACACCTACTGCAGACTCATTTCTGCTACCTAATCATTCATCCATATGTTTATCACCAAATATTTGTAAGCAATCATGTTCAAAGTTTGTCCCAGGAATTGCAAGGACGTAAGATGAGTCAGAAGGCATTTTTGTTCTTAAGGAGCTTGAAATGGGAGTAAAAGTAATAAATATTCATTAAGCATCAATTATAGTCAATCAGGGTATTGCTTTGCATGTTATATATAGATCTTTAGTCCACTTAAGAGGTATTTTTCCCCCAAGATTTTACATAAGAGGAAATTGAGGCACAGAAAGATTAAAGCAACTGTTAAGGGCTGAGTTGTGTTCTACCAAAATTTATATATTGAAGTACTGCTCTCAGTACCTCAGAATGTGATTGTATTTGGAGATAGGGCCTTCAAAGCGGTAACTGAGGTAAAATGAAGTCACGTGGTGGGCCCTAAGCCAATGTGACTGGTGTCCTTATAACAAGAGGAAACTAAGATACAGACATATATGTGTACAGAGAAAAGACCATGTCAGGACACAGAGACACGGTGGCCCATCTTCAAGCCAACGAGAGAGGCCTCAGAAGAAACCATGCTGACACTGTGACATTAGACTTCCAGTCTCCAGAAATGTGAGAAAATAAATTTACGTTGTTTAAGTCACCCAGTCTGTGGTATTGTGTTATGGCAGCCCTAGCCGACTAACACAGCAACTTCCCAGGTCTACACAGCCAGCAAGCGGAAAAGATTTTCTACTGAGTCCAATAAATATATGCCTTAGGAAAAGAGAAAATGACACATGAAAAAAGATAATTATAATATACGTTAAGAGGTAAGGTACCGGCAAACTGCCATGGCAATTCAAAGGATGGCAAGATTTCTGCCGGCTGGGG